TTGTAATTTTTTTTTTCTAATCGCTTTATTTTATTTTTTAAAATTTATTTTTCGATATATCAACGTGAATAAAGTGTTATGAATGAAAAAATAATTATTTTTCTTCGGGAAAGAGGGAACATTAGCTAAAAAACGAATAAATATCGACTCCGTAGCTACGCATACGACTCACTCAGTAACTCCCTTTAATATTAACTTATAATTTTCAAACTCTGCCAGTAATTAGAGTTTTATATACCAAACAATCTTACCAAAGATAATTTTTATAGACTAATAAGGGAGCACATAATGGGCCAAAATAGATTTTGTTAATTAAAAGGAAGAAAGTACTTTAAGCTACATATTCGTGGAAGCAACGTGTGAGTCGTGGTATGGTTGTTAGCGCCATGATAAAGAAGTTTGTAGTCTCGGTGGACAGGGGTTCGGTCCTGCTCAAGGATTAACTTAGAATTTTTTTTCTAGCCACTTTAATTTATTTTTTAAAATTTATTTTTCGATATTTAACCGAGAATAAAGTGTTATATATATAAAAATAATTATTTTTCCTTGGGAAAGAGCGATTAATAGCTGAAAAACAGATAAATTTCGACTCCAGAGCTACGCACAACACTCACTCCGTAACTCCCTTGAATATTAACTTATAATTTTCAAAATCTGCCAGAAAATAGAGTTTTATATACCAAAACATCGTACCAAAAGGAGTTTTTATACACTAATTAGAGGAGTCATAAAGGGCCAAAATAGAGTTTGATAATTAACCGGAAGGAAGTTCTTTAAGCTATATATTCGTGAAACCATCGTGTGAGTCGCGGTGTGGTTGTTAACGTTATGGGAAAAGAAGTTTGTAGACTCGGTGGTCAGGGCATCGGTCCTGGTCACGGATTAATTTGTAATTTTTTTTTCTAATCACTTTATTTTATTTTTTAAAATTTATTTTGCGATATATCACCGTGAATAAAGTGCTATATATGAAAAAATAATTATTTTTCTTCGGAAAAGAGGGAACATTAGCTAAAAAACGAATAAATATCGACTCCGGAGCTACGCATACGACTCAATCCGTAACTCCCTTTTATATTAATTTATAATTTTCAAATTCTGCCAGTAATTATAGTTTTATATACCAAACAATCGTACCAAAGATAATTTTTGTAGACTAATTAGGGAGCACAAAATGGGCCAAAATATATTTTGTTAATTAAAAGGAAGAAAGTACTTTAAGCTACATATTCGTGGAAGCAACGTGTGAGTCGTGGTATGGTTGTTAGCGCCATGATAAAGAAGTTTGTAGTCTGGGTGATCAGTGGTTCGGTACTGGTCACGGAATAACTTTAAATTTTTTTTTCTAGCCACTTTATTTTATTTTTTAAAATTTATTTTTCGATATTTCAACATGAATAAAGTGTTATATATAAAAAAATAATTATTTTTCCTTGGGAAAGAGCAATTAATAGCTGAAAAACAGATAAATTTCGACTCCAGAGCTACGCACACCACTCACTCCTTAGCTCCCTTTAATATTAACTTATAATTTTCAAACTCTGCCAGAAAATAGAGTTTTATATACCAAAACATCGTACCAAAAGGAATTTTTGTACACTAATTAGGGGAGTCATAAAGGGCCAAAATAGAGTTTGTTAATTAACCGGAAGGAAGTTCTTTAAGCTATATAATCGTGAAACCATCGTGTGGGTCGTGGTGTGGTTGTTAACGCTATGAGAAAAGAAGTTTGTAGACTCGGTGGTCAGGGCATCGGTCCAGGTCACGGATTAATTTGAAATTTTTTTTTCTAATCATTTTATTTTATTTTTTAAAATTTATTTTGCGATATATCAACGTGAATAAATTTTTTTTTATGTAAAAATAATTATTTTTCTTCGGGAAAGAGGGAAAATTAGCTAAAAAACGAATAAATATCAACTCCAGAGCTACGCAAATGGGCCACTCCGGAATAAATATCGACTCCGGAGCTACGCATACGACTCACTCCGTAACTCTCTTTAATATTAACTTATAATTTTTAAACTCTGCCAGTAATTACAGTTTTATATACCAAACAATCGTACCAAAGATAATTTTTATAGACTAATTAGGGAGCACATAATGGGCCAAAATAGATTTTGTTAATTAAAAGAAAGAAAGTACTTTAAGCTATATATTCGAGGAGGCAACGTGTGAGCCGTGGTGACGTTATTAGCGCCATGTTAAAAAAGTTTGTAGTCTCGGTGGTCAAGGGTTCGGTCCTGGTCACGGATCAACTTTGAACTTTTTTTCTAGCCACTTTATTTTATTTTTTAAAATTTATTTTTCGATATTTCAACGAGACTAAATTTTATATATATATAAATAATTATTTTTCCTTGGGAAAGAGCGATTAATAGCTGAAAAACGGATAAATTTTGACTCCGGAGCTACGCACACCACACACTCCGTAACTCCCTTTAATATTATCTAATAATTTTCAAACTCTACCAGAAATTAGAGTTTTATATACCAAAACATCGTACCAAAAGGAATTTTTATACACTAATTAGGGGAGTCATAAAGGGCCAAAATAGATTCTGTTCATTAAAAGGAAGGAAGTTCTTTAAGCTATATATTCGTGGAAGCAACGCGTGAGCCGTGGTGAGGTTATTAGCGCCATGATAAAGAAGTGTGTAGTCTCGGTGGTCAGGGGTTCGGTCCTGGTCACGGATGAATTTTTAATTTTTTTTTTCTAGCTACTTTATTTTTTTTTTAAATTTTTTTTTCGATATTTCAACGTGAATAAAGTGTTATATATGGAAAAATAATTATTTTTCTTCGGGAAAGAGGGAACAGTAGCTAAAAAACGAATAAATATTGACTCCGGAGCTACGCATACGACTCACTCCGTAACTCCCTTTAATATTAACTTATAATTTTCAAACTCTGCCAGTAATTAAAGTTTTATATCCCAAACAATTGTACCAAAGATAATTTTTATAGACTAATTAGGGAGCACATAATGGGCCAAAATAGATTTTGTTAATTAAAAGGAAGAAAGTACTTTAAGCTATATATTCGAGGAAGCAACGTGTGAGTCGTGGTATTGTTGTTAGTGCTATGATAAAGAAGTTTGTAGTCTCGTTGGTTAGAGGTTCGGTCCTGGGCAGGGATTAACTTTGATTTTTTTTCTAGCCATTTTATTTTATTTTTTATAATTTATTTTTCGATATTTCAACGTGAATAAAGTGTTATATATATAAAAATAATTATTTTTCTTAGGGAAAGAGGGATTAATAGCTGAAAAACGGAAAAGTTCTTTAAATGGATATTGGATGGTAAGAAGAAAAATATCCAAACCAGTCAGATTGTTGAAAAAATTGTATTGTTTCTTTTTATAATGGCCTTTCAATTCCTCTTTTTTTCTGTGTCATAGTTTCCCGACAGGGGGGGAGGGGATTATCGCAGTAGACGGTGCAGCACTTCTGGGGGGACCTAACAAGATTGTGGTTGATTAAGAGATGTTATTGATTTTCGGAAAATTTTGAAGATCGATCTATTTTTTATCTTAATTAAATATACTATTTTTCAAATTTAGAAATTTGTTACTAGAAAACTATGAAGTATGCTAATATTTGTTTGTTTTTAACACTTTTTTGTAAATAATTCTTGATGGTATTGGTAAGATAGTTTATTTGTATAATTTATGTGTTTTTTTCTCTCTTTGTGTGATAATTCAAAGGGTTGTTCTCAAATATACTTTACCTCACATTTTTTGTTAACTCATAAAGTATATTTGATTAGATTTTTAAAAATATTTCGCTCATAGTAGTACTAAAAAAAAATATCAGGCGGTGGATTGTAGGTCTATCTAATAACATTTTTATTATATTGCCGGCATTGAGCAGTAGACGCAATTCTGAGTTTACGACTATCTGTGTTCAAATACGTAGCCTTGTAATTTTGAATCCTGCCCGGAAGACAAGAGAACTCATAGACCAAGCATTGGGACAAACTAGCTTTCGCGGAGGTCTTTTCGATGAAACTAATTCGCACTTGCGTTATAGTGAGAGGAAAACCACGAAAACATCTCACCGTTAGCCCGTATGCTAAGGTACACTAACCCTTGATCCATCTAACACTGAGGATATCCTACGAGTGCACTGTGTTCGGTGTGAGTCGGGACCGGAATTCGAATCAACCAGCACCTCTGGGTTTCCAAACTAGGGCATCTCATTGAGAGGTGAACGCTCTATCCACCGTAGCTCTGATAAAATTTGTCGAAAAAAATTTTCAATAAAATATAAGAAAAATATTTAATTAAGTATTTAATTTAAATTTCAAAATGATTCCGCTGAATTTATCCGATGTTAAGCATCACTGGCGGCTGTCAGTGTGCGAGTGGGTAACCACTTTGATCAGCCTGCGTAGGGACCGAGGATGCGCGGTATTGGTCCTCGTTAAACTGTGCTACCGTAAAGTGCTCGACTTCGCACGCAGGTCGTCGGGCTACCGAAGCGGGGGTGCCATCTCCTCCACAGAGGATCAAAATTGTGATGGCNTGTTGTCGGATCATCCTCAGGGATGTTTCCCAGACCGTCGCCAATAGCCCATTGTGCAGCTCTAGTGCGACGTAAATTAACAACAACAACATGTATATACGTGCGTAGATATGTATCGAAATATCGTAGAACAACTGATAAGAGAAGGAGAGTGAAGGAGGATGGTCAAGCATGCCCTTATCTTAGCGCGTCGAGAGTCATAGGAGAAGGAAGTACGTTAGCTTTTGTCTTGATTTTCAAATAGATTAAAAACTTTCACGCTTGGAAATTGTATGGAACTGAAAACTACATTGAACATAATTCCAAAAAAAAGCGTCATGGAAATTTAAAAAAATACTTGTGGTAAATGAATAAGAAAAAATGTTAAGAAAGGAGGAAATATCGTAGTACAGTCCAATACAACTGAGAAGAGGGATAAAGGGGATGGATTGAAACATGTGGAATCGAAAGGTTTTCTTCCTAAATTACGTTTTCGACTGTTGTGATTGTAAATTCAAAACAAGTGTTGTTCGACTTCGGTAATCTACTGAGATAAATGCCATCCTTAACTTTTAGTGAGGAACACATAACTGGAGCAGAAATAAACAGGCGATAGCTTCAAAACAGTATTTTCCTCTTTGCAGCAATTTCAGATGTGTTGTTATTAGCCAATGAGGTGTTTCTGGTTATTTAAATTTTACTACTTTTAAAAATAATATTAGAAGATTTTTATGATGTCAACTCCAACAGAGGATGAAAACACTATAGATTTTAGTTTATTTGATCTAGTCAATAAAGATTTAAAGTAAGGCGTGCTTTTAATTATTTTTTAAATTGCTTGACAGTAATTCAATTATTGATCTGTGCTGAAAAATTTTTATAATGAAAATTGGGGTGATTTCGTAATTAGTATCTTCATAATAATTTCGTCCTAAAGTTCTTTGTTGCCCTTCTAATCTTGAATAAGAGTAATAGAATTTCCGTAAACATTGGTGATTCTAAGTATATTGAAGCATTCTTTCCAAAAAAATATGTAAATAATTATTGTGGTTCCTGATCAGGGTGCCGCAGAAAAATCTGAGAATGTTATCAATCTGGAAAACCTGATAATCTTATCAAAATACTTCCAAGAAAGGAGAAGGGTGATATTTTGTGCTATGTACATTACAGCATAAAGCACAAATTAACGAACTTAAATTGTCATACTATAGTTTCAACTCAATTAACAAGAACCTTAGGATGGTTCTTTTAAGAATCAGAATTTTGTAACATAAAAATATTATAATTTTAAGGCTTAATTGAAGTAATTTTTTTATGCACTTTTAATAAATTTTCCTTTCAATGTTAAAAGGTGCATGATTATGGTACAATGTTAAAAGGTACAATTTTTTAAATTTAATATTTTTTCTAGAAAGATTGTTGTAATGATATCTCTGCAGAAATGGTTTTATTTTATAACCGTGGTTGAACAGCCAGAGCTCATTCTAGGTAGGAAAAAGGGCATTATTACTTTAAAAAAGGCAATAATTTCTTTCTATGGGCTTTACACATTCTATTAATAAACATTGTCAATTAGTAAATGAAAAATGTTTTTATAAACTTTACTAACAGTAGCAAAGCAATCATATTAATTACTAATTTTTATTACTAAATTAACATATATATCGAGCTAGTTAGCTTACTAATTTATTTAAAATGCATGCATATGTTAATAAAATAATAAATGCATGTTTTTAAGTGTCTGTAGTTATGATTTATAAATTAAAATCATTAATAATAATTATTATTTAATGATAGTGGAAGTAACTGCAAACTTTCAAAGACTAGTGCAACAAGGGGGTGTGATGGCTATTTTTCCTTTCCCATATAAATCTATGTATTGAGAGCAAGGACAAACTAAATAAAAAGAGTTGAAAATAACAAAAGTTTAAGAAATCCATTGTAGAGTTTGGGGAAAAAATAAAGGGTTGAGGAAAGCATGGGCAAAAAGGGTATGGAGTCTATTACATCAGGGCACTAATTTACTTCAAAAGCAACAGGGTGGATTCTTTTGACTAAAAGAGCAGCAGGGTGCTGTGCCCTGTTTACCCTGCCTAGAATGAGCTCTGTGAACAGCTGCCTAATTTTTGAGTTTACGACTACTAACGTTCAACTACGTAGCTTTGTAATTTTGAACCCAATCCATAAGACAAGAAAATGCCTGGATTAAGTATTGGTAGAAATTTGCATTTCTGAAAGACTTTTTATGGAACTCATCATTTTGCGGTTTTACACAGTTAGCCTCACTACAAGCAGACTTTAACCCATAATCCGTCTACCACTGAGAATATTTTATGTCTGCACAGTGGCCGGTGCAAGTCGGATGCGTAATTCATTTTGATTAGCCATGGCTCGCTTTAGAAGACAAACGCTCTATCCTCTGAGCCATCACGGCTCTGCACCTCTACAATTAACCAAAACAGAAAATAATATGCCTTCTCTAAATCAGTTCTGTCTTCTCTTGCATGAATTGTTTACCCTTTAGTTTTTAAAACCAAGTAGTAGCTCATGAAAAAAAAAAGTCAGAATTATACAATTTTATCTATAAAACTAGTAGCCTATTCCATGTAATAGGCTCGAGCAGATACTGATCTGGAAATATCTCACTTTATTGGAAGAAAAAAAAAATAGATTAACGTTATGAAATATTTTGACCCCGGGTAATTCAGAATCACTCTGTTTCTGGGGCAAATAATGATCATCTAAGTCAATGACTCCCAAAGTGGTCTATATCGATCCCCAGGGATCGATGGTAACCTACAAGAAGTTCATGTCAAGTGGGGAAAAAATTGAGGGTCCTTGAAATGGAGATGGGGATCAACGATAGTGGATCTCATATTAGCAGGTTGTGACTTTTAATTTTGGCATTGCATGAATGGACTAATCAACATACACTGGTAGTGCATAATTACTTACATTATACTACCTTATAATATGAAGATATATATCTATCTACATATTTTATAAAAGTAGCTATGAACCAAGAATTTTATTGAAATTTAAGTTATTAGGATTATTTTTCGATATACGAAACTGAATTATTATAAACTAGCATTTGCCTGCAGCTCCGCCCGTGTACGCTTTTATTTTCTCTGCGTGTAAGGTTCTATTTTGTAACAAAAAGTATTTTTCCGCTGTAAGTTGTAGCCTCACAAGATGTGTCAACTCTTTAGCTAGCTAGACCTCCAATTTTATCGGCGCTCAAGATGCAGAAAATTTGTTGCTCAGTTTTTACGAGGAAACTTAATAAGCAAATCGACAGTACACTTCTATGGTTTTGTATACAAACTTATTTCCCCAATTATAATATTAGTAGAGTACAGGTTTTATAGTGCACTATTTTATTCCATTGACATATTAATAAAATTAGTTTGAATTTAATTAATAAATGTATAAAATTTACATGTGTTTTTTCTTAAGTTTTTCACACTACACTTCATTACAGTTAGAAATTTAAATCTTTCACAGTGGATAGCACTATACCAGCTGTCAGAAATACATTTGAAATTGATGAATTTACAAAAAATCAATATCAGGTAAGCAGGGGGTCTGCCCAAAACCGAAAAACATGGCAAGGGGTCTACGGGACAAGAAAGTTCAGGAACCACTGATCTAAGTTTTATTTTTTAAAAAAAATTATTATAATTTTTTTAGAAAATAAAAATTACTCCTCTTGAAAAATGACATAACATTATGGTGAGTAATACAAAGGAAGATCCGACTAATAATTCAAACTTTCTCTAATAAAAATCAGTGCTCCTATAATAAAGAGACTCATTAAATCAACAACTAAATGATTTTGCGGATCAGTGAACAAATGACCGAATCAATCAGAAAACAATGAAAAATGAATGGATTAATCTTTGAAAGAGAAAAGGAATGAGTCATTAAATCAATAAATGAAGGAAAATCGGATTGATGATATGATAAATTAAATAACACAAAACCTACCATTTATTGATTTACAAAATAATTTATAGGCTTCTTTAATCTCTGATTATTTATTAACTTTAACAATTGACTGTAGATTCATTTAACCGCTTATTTATCTACGAGATAATCAGCATATTAAAAGCATATATATTAAGGGCAGTCATCATAAAGCACCCTCTTCAAAATTGACAATTTTTAGCAATCTAATGCTACTGTAGGTAAGACTATTAAAGAAGTAAATAATTTTTATTAAAAAAATCAACAATTTGGTTTTAACAAGCATAGCTGTAAAAGTATTACAGATAGTAGTAGTTTTAACTTATGTGTAATATTATGGATTAGNTACAGTTAACAGTAGTAATGAGTTCTTATCTTAAATAAAATAGCATATAAATTACAAGTATAACTATAACTAAAATATGCTATTATTAATTATTTAGATTTATAAAAGCCATATTGCCTTGTTATTGGCATCAAGATATTTAAATTATTACAAAAAATAAATCAAGTTGTTAAAATTTTTTTAAATATGGAAAGATTAAAAAAGCAATTTGTTAATATTCATTTCATTTTTAATTTAAAATTTGAAAATTACTTTAATTACAATCAAAAGAGAAATTTTTTTTAAAAAGTAAGTATTCGGCCTAAAATTTGGCCGAATATTCGGCTATTCGGCCCCATCACTAATTTCCTTTAAGAAAATCTTAAGTAGCTTTTGATGTTATATAAATTTACTATTAGTGTCATTTAAGTAATTATAACTCTAAAGTGAACAGTAATTACTTTAAATTTACTAATCTCAGTTTAATATTTCATTTTACTTATAGTTTAAAGTTCTTTTGTTTACTCATTAATCAGTTTGTGATATCTAATCTGATTAATATGCTGTGTTATGATAAAATCTTTTTTAATGTGTAATTTATTAAGAATAGTACTTAAATGTTTTTTTTTTATTCTTTAGAATGAAGAAGCTTCTCAGTCTACTTCTGTAAGAAAATGTTTATTAATTTATACTAGTTGGGCAATCCACTGTGTAATGTATAGTAATTTTATTTGTAATTTTAAAAATGCAAAAAATATCATTGGAGGGAGATAGTCAATGTCTTCCTGTGGCAGAATTTCTTTAGGTTTTCTGCGACAAAAACTCTAGCGCTAATATCTTTCTGCAACATACTTTCAATAGTAACAAAGATGTAGGTTACAAATGTAAGATAACAAAAATGCTGTGTTTACAAAACAAAAAGCAATGTCTTTTTTTAAATTGATTTATGTAATATTTTTTTATTCTGATATTATAGGCGATATACTTGAATTTTGTTGGGTGGAGAAGCGTACTAATTATTTCCTTTATCGCATTTTGAAAATCATCATCCATCACATTAAAAAATAATTAAATACCATGAAATCTGTTGCAGTAATTAACAAAATCAGATCAACGACGAAATTACGCGAATTGGACTTTTTAAGGGTTACTCAAATGCATCCTTTCAAGATTTGATTCTATTCTATTTTTATATTAAAAGCAGTAATTCTATAAGAGACAAAAACAAACGTGCAGATTTGAATACATATTTTTCTAGGAAAGTATGGAAGATAAATTCCAAAAGAGTGTACAAGATTTACGTAAAAGTTACCTTCAATACTTAATTTTAATAACGATTAAATTAGTAAGTTTTAGAATATTAAAAAAATTACATTTCATTTATTAAAAATATTAAATTTAATAATGATTATTGATGATCAGTTCATTATGGATATTTAAAATATTATAAGGAATATATAATTAATAAAAAATAACCTATAAATATTTTTTTAAGGCGAACAATACTTTAATAATTTGTCCCGCAGTGGACTGATCATTAAGACACGGTTCCCAGCAGATCACCGAAGTCAAGCATCACTGGTTGCGGTCAGTGTGCAGGTGGGTGACCTCTTGGATAGTCTGCGTAGGGACATAAGGTCCGCGGTATTGGTTCTCGTTAAACTGCTCTACCGTAAAGTGCTCGACTTTGTGTGCAGGTCCTCAGGCTACTAAAGCGGGGGTACCACCCCCTCTGCAGAGGATCAAAATTGTGATGGCATGTCTTCGGATCATCCTCAGGGATGTTTCCCAGACTGTCGCCAATAGCCCATTGTGCAGCTCTAGTGCGTAATCATAGTAAATTAACTACAACAACAATCATTACTCTCTGACTGCATTGCAGTTACACTAAACTTGCTATGAAAAAACACTTAAAATGATGCCTATAACTTGAAATGTAAAACTTAAAAATTTTGCAGCCTACATATTTTTATAATGCAAAAAAGCATTTGTATATGTTTCAAATGTAAAAAAAAATAATGACTATGTTTAAAATGGGGTTGCCATTCTACAGGGAGAAGAGGAAAATCCCGGAAAATGCAGAGAATTTAAAATTCACCAAAATTAACCAGGCGAAATGAAAGAAATTTTGAGCTTTTCTTTACAAACTCGGAATTCAATTTTTATTTTCTTCTTTTTTTAAAAAAAGTTTACCACTCAAAGAGCAATCTGCGGGATATTTAGGGAAGATATTTCAGCTATACTAAATTATTTCATTTACTATGGCATTATTTAAATTTGTTCAGCTGTTCCTTTTTTTCCCTCAAAATTTTAATTAAGACTAGCATAGTTAGTCCAAATTAGCTACACACAAAAACAATGATTTTGTTTCCTCATAATATATTGTGTGTAATATGTACAGGGAGAACACAGTTAATTTTTTTTCTCCAAATTTGAGTGGCAACCCTACATTAACATTGATTGAGCATCATTATCGTCAGTTAAAGTATGGCAATGCTTATTTTTTGTTGAAAAATCTGGCTATGCACCCTATTTCATCCAAATGCTGATGCTTACCATAAAAAATTCAGCCTAATCTTAAAATAAGCACAGGGCTCATTTTGTGTAATTATTGTGTTATAAAACCTTTGTTTAAAGTGAGAGAAACACGTTAAATAAATTAAGTTTTGACTGCATATTTAAAAAATAAATTTATTCACACATTATTTCAACTATTAGTATTTTATTTTTTGTCTTTTTTGTGTAATACTTTGTCTATTATAACATTTATAATCTATATCTTTTTTACTATTTTCTATTACAGCATTGCCACTCCACAGGGAAAATACAGGGAATTTAAAAATCACCTATAATAACAGAGAAAATGCAATAAATTTTAAATTTTTCTTTACTAACTGGGAATTTTATTTCTTATTTTTGTCCTTTGAAATATTTAGACCTCTCAAAAAACAATCTATGGGGTATTTAAAGATAATAATTCAGCTATTATTTCATTTATTATACCATTAAGTATGTTCAGCTGTTCCTTCTTTTTCCTCAAAGTTATACCAGCAATTTAAACTAGTATTGTTAGCCCAAAATAGCTCACAGAAGAGAACAATAATTGTGTTTCTTCTTAATATATTGCGTATAACACAAGCCAAGAATCTTTTTTCCTTCCAAATTTAAGTGGCAACCCTGTTTAAAAAATTTTTAAATTAAGTTTGTGAATTTGTTTCAATAATGCTCTCAATAATTATTTGAAATGCATATTTTTATTAATATAAATTTACAGTAATTCATAACCATCATGATACTGATCTTTTACTTTCAAGAGGAGTTGTGAAGTAAAAGGATATTACGATCCTTCTGTCAGCGCCATATTTCTTCAAGCAACTGGCATATCTGATACAAGTGTTTTAGTTCGTAAATGTAAAGAGTTAGGAACAGAGTTGGAAACAAAGGTAAAAATCAAAATTTGTGTTTTAATTTACTTCACTTGTTTTATTTTCACTCACTTGGTTTATTGATAACTAAGCATATATTTTAATTACTTTTCGGGGTTTTTTCCCAACCCTTTTAAATATTGACTAAGTTGTTCTCAGTGATAAATTGTCAGGATTTGCTGTCATCGATTGCACAGCTCTAGTGTGACCTTAATAATCAACCTTAATTAGGATAGATTTAGTAGAAATATTTCGTCTAATATTAATACCAAGGCAGTAAGAGAATTAAAAAAAGATAACTTATCAACATTTTTATTTATAATGGCACCTATATTAATATTGGGCAGGGATGTAGGTAAGGGGGGTGTTCAAACACCCCCCATTGTACAGAACAATGTTTCTTTTTTTTTTCTCAATACTATAGATAATTTTTCCTTAATTTTTAAATATTTTATATACTAAAAAAAAAAGTGGAGAATTCCCATGACATTTTATTTTGAGGCTTTTATTAGTCTGTAACAGAAATAAAATAATCACTGCTGCCTCTTTGCTACCCATTCATCAAGAGAGCAACAAACGCTTATCTTCAGTGATTAAATTAGATAGCATCCCTTTCCTCATTGATTTACCACCCACAAAACTTCTCCCCTCAGAAAAGTAGCCAGCCCAGCTCATATTACTCTAAGGGAAAATGTTCTTCCAATGGATTCTATCTTATCTCATCTACTTTTTAAAATATCGGCTATACACAGATCCTATTTACGGTCATAAAATACATGCGTCAAACAAGGAATTCTCTTGAATTTCTAGGACTGCATATATATGTTAACCTTTTCAGGACATCAAAACTTCCTTGGCAATTTTTTCGGTCATTCTGTCTGGGAACTTTGTCTTAGACACTCATCCTAAAAGCTCTAAGTTTTAGATTTTTCCTTTTGTTTAAATTAGCATTTTATTTAAAATTTCGTTTTATATTTTCTTTCTGATTAATTTTTATTTGTTAATTTCATCCGTTAATTTTTAATTTGTATTGTGTAATTCTGTTTCTATAAATAAAATGTGATCTTTCATTGGCTATAAAAAGAGCTTGAATTAAAAATATTGGAGGTGAGCAAATATTTGTATTAAATCAATCTTTCCGCATATATGTAACATTTAAACTGTACAACAAATAGATTTATTTAGAAAATTTGATTATTCATGCATAATTTTATTTTTAATTCCCAATTTTTGTTCTTATTTTATGATTATGAAATCGGACTTAAAAATTTTTGAAATTTTAAACTGAAAATTAAAACAAATTTATTATAATTCAGTCAGAATTGAAATATCTATGTTACATTTAATTTTATAATAAAACACAAAAATTTCATAAATGAATAGTTGAGAGCAATTAATCATTCAAACTATCTTAGTATAAATGTGTAAGTGTAACTTAAAGTTTAAATATTTTTTAGAAAATTAAAAAACCTTTCTATTACTAACTTTCCCTTCTTGGGATCTTATTGCAAGGGAAGTTACTTATGATTTTGAAAAGTTTTAAACGATAATACTTCATTGCGTAATCAAAAGTAGCGATATATATAACAGCTTTATAAAATTAAAACAAATGTCAACAAACCTTTAAATTATCATAAAAATTACTGAAATTGTTAATTAAAAAAACAATTCAGTACTTTCTAAGAATGATTTAAATCAGCTTAAATAGATTTTTTTTTTTGTCTACTTAATTTCAAATATATTTATGGCAGAGTCGAGACCCCTTTTTCTTTAGCTATAATATGCATAGACCTTGTGAAGAAATCTTTTAAAAAAATATACGCTAACTGTTATTTTGTAAATAATGAATATTTTACCCTAACACAACAGATTAACAGGAAACATTTACACCCACTTATTAAATAATATCAGTTTATATTACAAAATATCAGAATAGTATCGAAGAGTTTCTAACCTGTAATGAAAAAAATTATTAACCAATAATAAATTTTTCGTAATAATATATTTTTCATAATTATAAATTTTTCGTAATAATAAATTTAACGTAATTCGTANTAAGACTACTAGAATTTTTGAATATTGGCTCGTCCAGAATGTTGGATAGGTTGAACTTTTAAAGATCCGACAAAAATATTCATTCAAAAATATTCAAAAAGCAATTTGAGGATTTCCTAATTTCCGAATCACTTCAATGTAGAAAATATCCATCCAGTATGTATCAGACTTTTATCAATGCAATAAGTTTCCAAATCTTTACGGTGGTCAGGAAAATTTAATCATCCATTTTTAAAAACAGGAAATACAGGGTGTTCCAAAATTCTCTTTACAACTTCAAAAATTTATAAAATAAAAAATTCATTCTAATAAAGTTTTGTTTAGTACACTTCAACATGCGCACCATTGGTGGCCCTCAGCACTTCCAGTCTGTAATCAATTTCAAGCCAGGTGATGTAAAGATAATTTTGGAACACCCTGTATATATATATATATATATCTTTCATGAGTATGTTATTGCTTAGTAATTCTTTATAATGAATGCTGGTTTTCTTTAATTTTAAATGACTAAATTTATGTTTAACTTTGGAAAATTTTATTGAAATCCAGATCACTTAAAAGTGAATCACAAAACAGATAAGAAAAATTTATCATTGCAACTGCATTCAATTTTTTATAAATGATCTCAAAATTTTTATTTGTTAACCATAATCTTGTGTAAACAGTGTAAGCAAATAAAATTAACAATAATTACGCTGCACTAAACTAAGTCTGACACTGAATAAAAAAAGAAATCAAGTTAAATGAAAGAGTAAACTACCTTAAAAATAATACTTTCATTCTAAGAGTTTGAAGATATTTTATGCTTTGACTTGAAGTATCCAACGCCTTAATTATGATTTATCGTCAACACAAACTAATGAAAAAAATCTTTGTTTAGCAAAATGTTTTAAGATTATTAAAAATGTAAGGGGTAACATCTATTTCTCTTTAAAAATTAAATTTAAGTAGAAATTGCTTTAAAAAATATCATCAAGTCATTATTGTCGTACATGATACAAAAATTTAAGATCAGAATGGTAAGAATATTAATTATATTCCATTCTATGGTGAAGTTTAGACAGGAGTTTAAATATATATATTTCAACCCTGCTTAACTATAATATGTATATTATATGTGTGTGCGCGTATAAGACATTTAAACACATAATGCATTATACTGATTAAGTAACGAAAACTTGTTTTTAAAGCTGACATTTAAATTTAATTTAGTGTGATAAGTAATTCTTTAAATGTTGAAATGCCCACGGCCTTACGAAACACGGATTTTTTCATTCAATTTATTTACGAAATATTTTGAGGCTTTATATCTATTTTTTTTTCTTGTGCTGTATATCTTTTGTATTTATTAATAATTTTTTGTTACATTATTAAAGTTTTACCCCTTCTATTTAATAACATAGTTTAACAGGATATTATTGAAATAAGCAAAAAGAAAAATTAGTGTGAAGATATATTCATTTACCGACTTCTGCGAATATACCATATATCTAAGAGTAATTTTCGTTAAATGCGACAATTTAATGTAACTGACATTGAAATCTGATATTATAGAATAAAATGACAATTTTTTTTAAAGTTTATTTAACATCATTATTATTAGCTTTTTGGAATGATTTTACACATTGTCATTTTCCTGCGTTCTCTAAATAATTAATATAAACTATATTATTCAATCTGAGCTGTTTAATAAAGTCTTGTGATTAATAGCACAAAGACTAACTAAAAATGAAATGGAACATGTAAGTAAAAGCTATAAAATTACAAATTGTAATTTTTCTGGCACTTGAATGCCAGGGAATAATAGCAAACTGCTAAATGCTTGTTAACTATTGCACATTGCTCTGTATAAGGTATTAATTAGAGTTACCTTAATAAACTAGTATTTTTTTAAGAAAATATATATAGTATTCCAGTTTGAAAGGTTAAAAAATTTTAAAAAGATTTCCTATGTGTCATATTTTCTGAAAATTACCCATATATTCTACTTCATAAAGAATTCATTTTTTTTATATATTATTTTGGCTGCTTAAGCGCATTATAATTTGCGGTGAACAGATGAATTTTTATTGATATTTTATACGCGAAGTTTTGACAGTAACGGTGGTTTTGTTTTAATGTTCTTTTTATTTGAATTTCGCTTATCTCCCAATCGAAGGGAAGCGATCAACGACGTTTATGTCTTGCCTTTATTTTGATCTAATTTAGATCACTAGTTGTGATTTTTAGTTTTAAATGAAGCTTACAGTGAAAATTTCTGTATTAGATTATTTTATCAAAACCAAAATGAGTTTACTTGTATGTATGTAACTGGTTTAATTAAATTACATCTAGTTAATAAATTCCTCAATCACAAAACACCCCCTATGAAAAAACTATACCTACGTGCTTGATATTGGGTTAATGCATAAGTTCCCGCGTTTGTTTTTTAAAAAAATTTTTATAACTTAATTTTTTTACATAAAATAACAGCAATTTTATCAATAAGGTACTCTTCGTTGTTGTTTGCATCTTCCTCTCAACATTCAACTAGTTTTTCGATGCCTCTTCGACAGAAATCACCCGAAAGCGTCTAAAAAAAGTCGTCCAACCAAACCCATAATTCGATGTCACTATTGAATGAAATGCCACATGAAGCATTTGAGCAGCTCTGTGCTTGCTCTCTCTAGCAGCTTCTGTGGCTTTGGCACCACAATTAAGCGCAAAATGAAGGTGGTGTCGGAAATGCTCATTTTTGTCAACTTGACACTCCATTGCTTTAAAATGTAACAGAAATAAACTCAACAAAAAAGCAAAATACACTATTTTATAGAGTGAAAAATTCTCTTTCGAATAACACAAAAGATTATGCCAAAACATTTCCTTTTCAGTGCAAATTTTTTAAATTAAACAAAGTGCAGGAACTTGTGCATCAACCCAATAAAACATGCATATTAATTATCATTAAATTTGCTCTTATTCCCTTTTCAATGGTTCAATATCCAGGGGTGAGCTCAGGCTTTCTCCAGACATTCCTACTTTTCACAACTTATTAGACTCTTGAGTCATGATGGCTCAGGGGATAGAACGTTCACCTTCCAATGAAGTGAACCAATTATTAATATTTTTTTCTCATACTAATTTGCTCACTCTATAATTTTATAGTTTCCACTTGCTTCTCTCTTCTATCAGTATAAATAGTGTGGCTTTATTAAATTTTACAATATGAGTTAATTAGGTCGGGATAGCATGGTTAGTAGTCCAAGAGTTCTTGGGTTTGATCC